ATCCCTGTAGGGTCTGATAGCTCCACTTATATACTGACTGGTTTACGGCCTGCAGTTCTCTACACTGTCTACATTCAAGCCATGAGGGGAGACAAAACCAGCAAGAAAATCTCAACGCAAGCTGAAACAGGTGTCACATATCAGTTTTTTTCATAAACCAGTTTTCCCCTTGACCATATCCATGTTTAAATCATTACAAAAGTTGATTGGCCTGTAATTAAATGTATTTTAAACAGACAAGCATGTGGACTGCTTGTAAAGACCCAAGAAAATGTGCCATTTCTAAATGTGCTATTGATCAAGTCCGTTATTATGTCCTTCAAGCATCTGTTTCAAGTCATGCAAAGCAACCAAAACCAAAACTATATCCCCCTAAAGATATTAAGCCAAATTCCTTAGCTGTCTCATCATTCACACCCCCAGAGGTCCCATCCACACTGAGACAAGATCAGGTGTAGTCGCAAAGATATTTTCTCTTCCAACTCTGTATTGAAATGAAGCCGGCATTTTGGGAGATCATAAATGACTAGTCTTGAAACCGAGTCCCTGAGTGGAAAAATGAGTGAAGTCGATTTCAGGGGACTTTGTAGTTCAGCCTACCTCTGTAACTTGCATGTGCCTCTTCATCGCTGTGTTGCTTTGTTTACTTCGCCATCAGCATATGTTCAATATTTTTGTCAGTGGCTTGACTGACAAATTTAATCTAGCATCTCTCTTGATGAACAGTTTACACTTGTGTGGACACCCCTTTTTTGAAAGCAGTTTTTGAAAATACACCTTGTTTATCTTTGATAACATCTGCAGCAGTTCAATTATTCAGCCACAACTTTCTATTTCATATATTATTTAGTGGATGCTTTGCCAAAATATTCACACCCTTTGAAGGTTTCCCCATTTTGTTCCATGTGCTTAGCCTTTTCACTTTGGTACCCCTAACTAAAAACCAGAAAATGTATAGTTCATGCAAATTTATAGAAACTTTTGCACATTTTGCAGCATCAAGTTATTTCGTTTATGTATCTAGACTAGCACCTTTGTGCATCTAGAGATTTAAAAAAAGCGTTTTTTATATTTTATCGTATTTGTTTACAAAATAGCTCAAGTTCAGTAAGTTGCGTAGCCAGCTTATCGTAACATCTATTTTGAAGTCTTGCCACAAATTCTCAATCGTATTTTGGTCTAGATATGACTCTTTAAACACGATTATGACCCAGTCTTAAGTCTTGTACAGCCCCTGTAGCATGCATTTCAATCATCTAGTAGTTACTTGCAGTACTTTGCAATACTATTCGTTTCCCCCTTGAAATTTTCAGCCTTTTGCCACATTTTGGACTTCATGCATACAAATTTGTGAGGAATCAACAAGTGGGACACAATCGTGAAATGGCAAAAATCTTTTTAACTTTTTCAAATATAAAAACTTAAAAGTTGGGTTTGCATGTTCAGGGTGATGAGCGGTGTTGCTTTTAAACCAATCATAACTCTCACCACAGCTGTAGATCTCTATAGTTCATCCAGACTGATCATGGTTCTCTAATCATGCATCTCTAATCACTCCTATCCGTTTTTGAGCTAAAAGTTTAGAGGGACGGACGGGTCTTCATAGATTTCCAGTGCTCTGATATTCCTTCCATTTCAATATTATCACTTGCACAGTGCTCCTTGGGATGTTTGAAGCTTGTGAAATCTTTTTCTATCAAAATCTTGCTTTAAACTTCTTTATACCAGTATGTCTGCCCTGGCTGCTGTGTTCCTTGTTCTTCATGATGCTCTCTGTGCTTTGAACAGACCTCTGAGACTATCACAGAGCAGGTGAATTTATACAGAGAGTTGATTACACACAGGTGGATTCTATTTATCACCATCAGTCATTTAGGTCAACATTGGATCATTCTGAGATCCTTTGTGACTACGGCCTCCATGGAAGCACTGGTTGGTTTAGATTCTTTCTGGAGAGAGTTTGCTGCACTAGAAGTAAAGTGGCTGATTATTTTTGCATGCCCACTCTTTTTTTTTTTTTATTTGCTAAAGACGTTTAAAAAAAAAACATACATTAAGCTCCACTTCGTTATTGTCTCCCACTTGTTGGTTCTTTACAAATAATTACAATTTTATATCTTTACGTTTTAAGCTTGAAATGTGGCAAAAGGTCGAAAAGTTCACGGGGGATGCATACTTTTGCAAAGCACTGCATGTCTACATAGCCTCAAAATTCCTTAGAAATTGGCACTTTTTATAATAATCACACAAAATTTTTTTTTACAATTTATCTACGGCCTCCATGGAAGCACTGCTGCTTTATATTCTTTATTTTTCTTCCCATAATCTCTGATCACCTTCCCTGTTGTGACTGAAGAACAGCATTTCCACACTGATAAAGTCACAACTATGTATCGCCATGGTTATGGTGTAATCAGGGAGATTTGCAGTGTTAGTTAATTGGTCACCTTTTGCATCCATGCCAAAAGTTATTTTTTTTATCCCATCTGAAAGGGTTCCTTCCTGTTACATTTGTGAAAACTTCAATGGGTCTGAACAGTTTTGCAAAGCTTTGCACATATTTTAAGCATGTATTGGGTTTGGTATGAGATCTCTTTTCAGCCATTCCTGATGGCACTGTAAGCAAGCTCTTGGAAACATACCTCTACAGTGTTTAAAAAAGGTACACTCATTAAGATACAACTTTATTTGAATTGTTTATGGATCACTAAGTCCTATAATCTCCCTTAATTAATTTATCTTGAAATCTTTTCTTTAAAAGATTGTTAATCTTTACCATTTTAGCCATCAAAATCAGTTTCAGAGTCCAAATTCCAAAACCTTTTTCTAATTTACATTTTCTGAGATAATTTTGGCAACTGTTCATTCATTAATTTTCAACTTGTGTCGACTATTTCTTATACTTTAATTTCCCAGGGAGGCTTTTCATCTCATTGGAAAAGGATATAATTGCTATTAGAGTAGAAGGGTAAAATGCCCAGGAGAATTTGGCTTTGAGTTTTAAAGCATTTCTCGCACTATATGGTAACTACATTTTAGCTTTAGTGTTTTTTAACCATTCTACATCTGCAGTCAGAGCACTTTCAAATTATTTTGCTCATGAAAAGACAGGAATATTTCAAATGATTAGATTGAGTAATTATTTCATTATGTTGCCTAATTAATCCCTGCCTTTGAAGAGACTATGATTTCTTTTGAGAATTGTCCTGAATTAATACTCTGAAAGCGAAATGATTAAGCCCTGCTTTTTTTTCTATACAACACACTCAGATGTCATATATATTTTCTTTTAGATACCATACCCTTACAGTATTAAGCACAGTCACTTATTTTTGTCTGAATGTCATGCTTTTGTCTAAGCTGGCAGATAGAGTCCATGCTGTCCACACGTAGTCTCTTCTTACTTGAACGTCTCTGTTCTCAATGTTGGACGTATATGACAACTCCTTTTGAAGAAGAACCAAAAAGACACCCTATTCCCATTGTGCTATCAGGGAGACAAATCAGTGTACAAATCTACGAAAGGCGCATAGCTATAACCTGGTCATCCAGACCAATTTATACCTTGTGCATAACGTAGTAGTCTGAAAAGGAGCGGATAGAGCGTAATTTTAAAGGCAGGACTAAGAGAATCAGCAGAAAACATTTAAAAGCAAATAACTATGGCTGTACTCCAAAAAGCTTTTTATTTTTATTTTTATTGAATACTCCTTCAGCAGCCAGTCATTTAAATATAATTTGATTTCTTTATGATAGAAACAGGTCTTTTAGAACATAATAAAGGGAATCAATAACACATTACTTCATTGCATCTGCATTCTTGACTGTTATGGTTACAGAAATTTGGTCTATTACGCTGTGATGGGTTTGGTTTTAGATTATAGAGGACTGGCTGACTGTAAGTCAGTCTGGCTTAGGAGGCTAACTCATACACCCCTGTTTTGACCCCTAACTGAAAAAACTATTTATCCATATATGCATTATATTCCATACACCAAATGTTGGGCCTTTAACACTTAAACTACCTGATTCAAAATGTAAGTTTATACACTGACTTTGTATGCTGTATTGTTTAACCAGTCACAAGTCCCTCAGAATTGTGGGGCTAATACTAATTAGCCTCACAAAACAACTACTAATATATAATGCAGTTTGCATGAGTAGTGCATTAACTTATATTAACATCTCCCTCTAGATCTGGATGCTCCTGCTAATCTCTTAGCTCAAGATGAAACAGAGTCAGGCTTCACCATGTTATAGGAGCCTGTGCAGTCAGACATTGATGGCTACATGTTAACCTATAGCTCTGCTGAGGGCCCCACTCAGGAAATCCCTATTGGATCTACAGAAACCTCTTACTCGCTGAAAAGCCTAAAGCCTGGAGTTCTGTACACTGTCTACGTCTGGGCTATCAAGGGGAACAAAGTGACTCAGAGGATTTCAACAGTAGCTGAGACAGGTTGATATAATATAATAAGTCAATTTACTTTTAGCAGCAATAAAAATGTCATGTTTCTTGACATTGCCAACCAAATGGGGGCGTTTTTTCGTATGTCCAACCAAATATCAACTTTTAAAGCTGTTTTGGCTGGAAACTGGGAGTTACACTAAGCATTTAAAAGCTACCTGTGACTCACAGTTAGTGAAGCTATTAAAATTCTGCACAAAGCAGCCTTTAGCCTAGTGTCCTGGCCACTGTTACCTACTCAGCTCAAATATTGTTATATTTCCTGTTTCCATTCAAAAATAATTAGTTTGTTAATAATTTACAGCTTGTCAAGGTGCAGAACACATGGTATATTTATTTTAAGCTAGAAACGGCTTTATTAAAGGCAAAGCAGAACATGCTGTTGGTTTAGTTTTAGGTGCACCTCACTGATAAATATTCCATAAACATAAACTTGAATCTTTTGCAGTTATAAAAAAGAAGTTTAATAAATTAATTGTACGTCTGTTAGGATAACCAAAGTGATTTCTGCAAGACTAAAAAGAGAAAGATTTTTTTTATATGTTTTTTCTTTTAAATCGTACTTCAATATTAGCATTTAACATACATTTGCCTTAATATTTGCACTCACTGTAACACCTTTGTACGTTCTCAATCACAGATCCCTGTATATTCATTTTTTTCCTATATTTAGTTTTCCCATTTAGACTAAACCATTGAAATTTAGAATTGCATTTGAAAAAAAAGTCCTGACCAAGATAACAAGAGCAAAAGAAAGCACTGAGATATGTAAATATCTCAGTGCTACTAAATGTTTACTAAATTAAAGGCAAAACAAAAAGTCAAGCAAAACAGTAAAATTATTACTCTACACCTATTATCTTAGCTGATTTCTTTTGAATTTTTAGTCATGATCTCATATATGAAAACACTGTATTTGAGGCATTCTCCTGTATTCCATCTGCAGAGGTGCTTCTACAAACAAAAAATGTTTTTGATTGACCCATCAGGGATTTGACAAATCCAATGTAATAATCAGCTAATAACTAACTGTCCAAAACGGTGTTTGGTCTTTGGCGGCTTCTCATAATTCAGTGTAAGAAGAGGCTACATATGTGATTGGCTTGCAACAGGCCTTCTTTGTGTTTGGCAGTTGATCTTAACATTTCTGCAGTGCTCTAAGTGAGAGCAAGATTCATTTTAAATAGGGAGTATGTGGCAGGGGTTAAGATTATAAACATTTTATCATGGATTCCATCAGTGGCTGCAGACAAGATACTGACATCAAACACAGAAGTTATAGCTTCAAAGATTATCTGGGTTACATAAAAGTAGGTGATATATATTTATATGTAAAGGAACAATACAATTAAAATAATTGGAACTGAATTTATTCTGTGATTGTCATTTTGCCACTGTTTATTCTTTGTCCTTTATGTTGTCTTTCTTTTCACAGAAATCAACTTAAAAATTCAAAGGCTTCTGGGGAGAAAAAAAAATGCTGAATTGTTTGGGATGCTTTTGTTCCTGCTTGGCGTGGCTTTCTTTAATATTTTGATCCATGGGAGGTCAAAGCCCCCGCTGCTTTAGTTCGTTTTGTTGTATCAAACAAAACACTGCAGCATGTGTTTCAAATGAATTGGCAAAGCATTTCAATAAGGGCAGGAAAAGCTGCCAGCTTATCTGCAAGCTGTAACCGAGCAGGCAGATGCTAGATGTCTGTGAGGCACTTCATGTGGACAAAGACTTGAAAGCAATCCTAAAAGTACCTACATTTTTGGGGGGTAATGGTAGTTTATTAGAAAGAGTAAAAAAAACTATTTGTACACTCTAAAACAGAAATTTTTAAAATAATAAGTAAAACTGTCTTTGGAGTTCTGTAGTTTTTCTTTTTATAGTGAATTCACTTGAATAAATAAAGAATGTCAGACATCTTTAAATATTTAAAGGAATAAGATATTTGCCTTTGTGTAGACCAATCTTATTATTATCCACTCCCACAGAGATTGACTCCCCCAAGGACCTAAAGGCTACAGATGTGACAATAGACTCAGCTCTTTTGACCTGGGCTCCTCCACTGGCAGACATTGAGGGTTACATCCTCACATATAGAGAAGAAGAAGGGAATTTGCAGGTACTTAACTGTGAGATTGTCAACTCTTTTCTTCATTAAAGTTGTAAACACTGCATGTCCTGACAATACCTTAATGATTGTAGAGCTTTGTATTTTCAGTTGTTCGTGATGCAAATTTAGTTAAAGTGGTGTATGTTTATTTTATTTTTCTGTGTGGATCATCAAAATAAGTGGTCCTCTTAATTCTGTCCTAATTCAATCATTCTGGTGATATGTCTACGTAATACCGTCCTATGTGCTCGTCCCGATTTTCACTTACCGGTACCTCTGACATAGTGGAAAAATTGCTAATCTTTTTTTGGAAAGTAAGCTTGTCTGAGCGATGCAAACAGCAACTTCTAAACAGAGGGTGCACGAGGAGAAATGGGCTCGTGCACGCTCTCACATACGTGAGCGGGTACAGGGTTGTGCATATGCATTTTTTTTTAAGTAGAGAGGGTGGGTCTTTTCAAAAAATGAAAATTGCCTAACATAAATTTTAAACTCATAAATTATAGCATTATATTTTACTGATTCTTTCTGTAACTTAGAGAAATTTGGTTCTTTACTAAGAAAGACAAAAAGCACTGTTTAGATATTGGGATACTTATCTAAAACGATAAAAAAGCCTTTTGTAAATTTTGACCTGTAAATGGCGTTAAGGCTTGATCAAGACTCCTTTTGCATGAAATGCTGCAATGGTTCAGTGGAGATCAGCATGTGACTCTGCTGTGGTGTTAAGGATGCTAAGGTTCCTTTAATAATGGCAGTTACCTAGTCCAAATTGTTGACTCTGATATATTTTGTCTTCTTCTTGATCACTCTCCATGGATTGTTGATGGTGTTTAGATGCTAATGTTTATTCGATAATCAGGCACAGTGATACAGTGGTACTTATACCAGGTATTGATACCTATCAGTTCCTGCTGGTAAATCAGATACTCAAAAACCTCGTCAATAGACCAAAGCATCAAGCTCAAGTGAGGGATTTGCACAAACCAGCCATAAAACCATTAAATAATTTCAAAGAAGGTCTTAATTTATTTAAAAAAAAAAAAACAAAAAAACAAAAGAATTCAAAAATGATAAACTGGGTCCAAAAACAGAGGTCAACAAAACAGACTTCCATTCAGGTTCCAACACTAAGACCTCAAGCACAAAATGACCTCTCAAACAAGACATTAGTAGTTGTAATCAGACCACTGTTGACAAGGGGGATAAATGACAAAAAAACTAACAAAAAAAGTAAACCTAAAAAAAACAGATCATTACTGGCCAGACACTAAGTACTTTTTTAAATTGAACGAATATAACACAACTATCCAAAACAAAAAAATATCTAAACAATTGATAAACAAATTTCCCCTCCCATTACTACAAGTGGTGTGACCAGCTGATTAGGCTGCAACGACCATATAAGGAGACGAAAGCTGGAGCTCATTGTAGCCCTCCAGCAGCAGATCCAAAGGAAACTGGCATCTCAAAGACAAGGAAATTAATCAATTGCATCTTAACCAAAATATATCAAGCTAAAAATAAATTTAACTATGAGTGCACTCAAATAGCTAACGAAAAACCCAGGCTAATGAAACCATTATTTGAAATCTATGTAAATTCATTTTTAAAATGAAAATTATAAAACAGATACCAGTCAGTTTTAGTAGCCTTCATCATGTGACAGCAGGCTGTCATATGGTGAAGCCTGCGCGTTGATTTAAAGGAAGACAAAGGACCAAAACCTTCAGATGGCATCGCTCCCCACATTTTCACTCTATGAGGAGACGTCTTATTGGACCCCAAGCTGCTTCCTCTCTTTGCCTTTTTATTCTCCCTCAAGGCTCTGGGATCTTGACTTTCACATAATATGAAAAACTAACATGGACCCGAAGAAAACCTTGACCCCTTTCCAAATTTTTGCTTTACATCCTCTTGGTTATTCCTACATTTTTTTTCTTCCAGATTTTTATGTTCCACTCAGCCATTGGCGGTTCTGGACCAAATATACCAGAGGCCCAGGATGGGAAATATATTTTCTTCATAAGGCACAGAAAAAAAGCATCAAACAAAAAAAATCAATCTTGATCTATTAAGTGAGACATTCAACCAAACACTTTCTGATATAGCAGCTGAAAACTGTGATCCTAGCTTAACATGACTGAAGTTAAAAGTGCATCACCTTCATTTTAATTCATTGCTAAAATAATAATGTAAAGATAGAAAATGAAATAGGTAAAAAAGAACAATCACTTACAGTTTCTTACCAATGTTTATCATTAAAAATGTATTTTGGTATTATGTCTTTAGCACAGGGGCCATAATAGGGGCGAGGACCAGTTCAAGAAAGACACTGGCCCCTGTTGGCCCCTGTCTAGAGCCATCAGTGCATTCAACCATCATTCAGTATAATTTATCTATAACAGTATTTCAATTTACATTTTTTAAATAGACTTGTTGACAGAAATTTACTTTATTACTTTTTTGATTACAATATGAAGCTTTTCAGTGTTCCTTCTTAAGTTATTCTTATGCTGATAAAACTTTGAATATGCAAAAAGGAAAACCTTCTCTGAAAATGTGTGCTGGTGCAGATGATTACTATGTACTCCAATCCTGAAACCTGAGTCTGAAGAAAATCCATATCCTTTTCTAATCTTTTAAATGCCAAAGCAACTTCCTTTCTTTGTAGAAGCTTAGTTATTGAATTTAAGTGTTTTGAAATGCTGACCTCTTGTGGGCACAGATGAAACAAATCTACTGCATAAGCAGCTCACTAAAACTGAATAAATTTTATTCAAGCTTTTCAGTTGACTTTATGATAGGCTAATTTCAAGGTTTATCAGCAATCTAGATACTATGATAACACATAGATGTTTACTAAGATTATTCACAGCTGTTTGGTTTTATTTCCCAAGGCTATTGAAAGAAGGCTTGACGCCAGCGAGACAAGCTTCACTGCATCCAACCTGAAGATGGGAAAGAGGTACATTGTCACCATTGTTGCTTTTAGGGGCAGCAAGAGGAGTAGGATGGTGGAAACCCTTTTTAAAACAGGTCAGTATTGTTCTACAAAAAAACATCTTTCTAATGTTTATTGTGATATTTTACATTTAAATATGATTTTCCTTTCCTTTGCTTTTATTAGTTGCTATGCTGTACCCCTTCCCTATGGACTGTGTACAAATAATGAGGAATGGCAATAACAACAATGGCATCTATACCGTCTACATTAACAATAACCAATCCAAGCCAATAGAGGTTTTCTGCGATATGACTACTGATGGAGGCGGCTGGCTGGTATGAATTATTTGCTGACTCTACAGAAGAAATAGATTTAGTCATTTATTATAATACAGAGCTGTTAAAAAGCATACTTTGGCCTTTGCACTTGTTTTCAAATCATCAAACTAGTTTTTTATTCTTAGATAAAGGTAACAAGAGTCATTAAGGCATAAATGTATGGTTACTGACCACATTAACAGGGATAATCTAAATCAAATTTCCCTTCCTAACTACTTGACTGAATGATCTTTAAAAGTAAATCAACATGCCCTAATTGAAATATTGTTTATACACTGATGAGAAATTGTTATTGACTTCTATCACTCTGGAAAGGACTAATGGGCTCAGAGGTCTCAGCAGACAAACGTAGGGGCCAAGTATCCCAAAATGGAAAATACAGAAATAGTGCTGTACCTGCCAGCACTGGTTGATTGCAAAAAAATATTCCCCATACTGCGTCAACCACTTCTTCAAGAGAAAACAACTGAATTTAAGCTAAGCAGGCCTTAGTTCTCTCACTAATGAAATGCAAAAATTAAATCAATGTGAGAATCAAAATCTTACGACAGACTATTAGGTTCAGGCTGGAGATTTTTTTTTTAATGTGTCAAACGATTATGGGAATAAAGTTGTAATATTACAAGAATAAATTCATGACATTACGAGAATAAAGTCTTACATTTAATAAAGAATAAAGTTGAAAAATTTTGTGAGAGAGGTGTTCTTTTTCCACAACATTTTTGAGGGGGAGCTTTTCGCTTTTCGCCGCGTATGTTGGGGCCCCCGCGCCCCACAGCGCCCTGTGAGCCCTTTTTGATATTGTGCACTTTTTTATTGTTGTGTTCTAAGAGTTTTTATTTTTTTTTTTTTGTCACCGCTGTGCCAGTGTATCTTTTCATGTTGTTCTCGATTTTTCTTTTTTTGGGGGAGAGTGTTTTTTTTGTGAGTTTTGTTATTAAAAAAAAAACTTTATTCTCCTAACACTAGGATTTTTTCTCATAATATTATGAATTTATCCTCGGAATTTTATGACTTTATTCTCATATTGTTACAATTTTATTCTCATAATTTAAGCTTAAAAGTAAATACTCTGCAAGTTTGGTCTATTTTTGAATATTTATCAAAACTATGGAGAGAAACCAGACTCAATTGATTCATGTAATAGTGTATGTGTAATGTAAGCTGTGTGAACTTGATTGTGAGTAGGTGTAGATGGATTTGTGTATATGTAAAACATCTTTTTTAAACTTAAAAAAAAGATCTGCAAATCACTTCAGGAATTTGTAAGTGTAAGTAATTTGTGCTCAAATGAGACAAATATTAAAAGTGACAAGTACATAATAAAATTACGTGCAGACAATTACTCCCACATGTAAAAAATGTTCAATACATGGGCAAAACTCACCTGATACACACAAAGCTTCAGTTTCACATAGATCAGATAAAAAGTTCACAAAGAGTCTTGAGACTGTTGCTGAATATCCATCACCATCTGGTATGAGAGGCTCAGGTGCTCTTCTGCTGTTTACACTATTGTCATTCGCTAAAGAAAATGTCCTGTTATCTTCAGTTCCCACCTTGCAGTGATATAATGACGGTGGCCAATCTGGAGGGGTTTTATTCATTTTATAAGACACACATGTCCTTTATTAGCTACTTTAAAGATGAAGGCAGTTATGATATAAACTGCTAATTCATCTTATATAAGTGGAGGTAAGAGATTAACCATCTTTCCAAACTTACTGGTCTTGCAATGAGCAGACTGACTGTGTCAGGGAATGTTGTTGAGGAATATATTTCTCCTATGGCTGCTATTCAGGCCATTTGGGGTCTCCTAAGATGAAAGATCCAAGGTCCTACAAAATTGAAAAAGAGTTAAAAAGTCTCATCAAATTGTTTCTTTCTCCTTGAAACAATCCCATAAAGGAGCATGGCTCATAAAGACAAGGTATGTTGTCGCCAGGTTGTAAGTTTGTTGATGCCTATAAGGCTCAGAGTGTAGTGCAGTTTATCCTTTCCATAAAGTCCTTCTTCCCAGACCTAGAGAGGGAAATATCATTAAAACTCAGAAGGAAATTCAAATTCTCTAACTCTCCATCAACATTCAAATTCCCCATATACACACAAATCTGCAAGATGAGACCAGAAACCCTTTGAACACTTGTTATCAGACTGTGTAACTGCAATTTTGTACATATTTATCAGGTGAGTTGTGCACATGTATGTGTGGAATTGTATTTGTATGAGTAATTGTCTGTGTAATGTACTTTTATACTTGTCATTTTTAAATATTTGTATTTGCATTCGAACACACCTTTCCAAATAACTAAGATTACTCCCATAAGTTTCTTAGAGTTTTAAAAGGATGATTTACACACACAAATACCCACACATACACACAGCTAAAGGATATCATACCCAAAGTGAAAAATGTCTTAGGTGTTTTGTTGGACTGAGGTTACTTCACATTTAAGTGTGACAAGGAAGCAAAAGCAGAAAAAACTGTTATTGGGGCAAATACTGCTTAACAGCACAATAGACCAGTTTTAACAACAGATAATATATATGGATATTTTTTTTCTGTTGATTAAAACACAAGCTTTAGCTTTCCTCAATCCTGGATTAGCTCTTTTCAAACTCTTCATTTCTAATCCAACATCTGTCAGTAAAATCCTGTTCTTGCTATTTTAAGGTATTGCAGCGCCGAAACACTGGCAAGCTGGACTTCATGAAACGCTGGAGGCAGTACATAGCAGGCTTTGGCAACATGACAGAGGAGTTCTGGCTGGGTAAGCAATGTGGTGCTCTTTTTTCTTTTTTTTTTTGCAAACCATGCACATATGAAGTGTAACTGTGCATTACATCCTCCCTTCAAATTCTGCATCTGTCTATCTGCTCCAACAGGTTTGGATAAGATATATGCGCTAACCAACACTCCTACGCAGTATGAGCTAAGGTTCGACCTGGGCCTGGGCTCAGAGAGAGCTTACGCTGTCTATGACAACTTTAAGATTGCTCCGATCAGACAGAAGTTCAAGCTCACAATTGGCAAATACAGGGGGACAGCAGGTATGGTTGCATTTAAAAGACTTGGACTGTGAAAACTGGAGGCACAGCTTTGATGAATTCTGTTTTTTTTTTTCTAACACCCACACACGGTGATGCATAGTGAGAATATGATGGCAGATTTAGAAACAAGACAGATGGGGGCAGTAATGGAGGGATTTCAAGGCCTGTGTACCCCAGCTATTATGCAAACACACTTTAGCACTGTAAGCTTGAAAGCAACTGAGGTGGTTTATGAAACATGCAGGATTTGAATATGCAGCAAATCCACACAGACAAAATGAAACATTCTGCTAACGTATGACCCGGAGTTTGCTTATACAGCGTTTTCTGCAGGGTTGAATAGTCTCTCCTTTTAAAAATATGGTTCAGAATACATATGCAGGTGTTTGCCCTCTAATATTTAGCATTTACAAACATCTCTTTTTATTGGTGTTTTTAGGTGATGCTATGACCTATCACCAAGACCGGCTCTGGACCACCATAGATTCAGATAATGACATTGCCTTGACTAACTGTGCCAGAACCCACAGCGGAGCATGGTGGTACGCTAACTGTCATTTGGCCAACCTCAATGGTAAATGGGGTGACAACAGACACAGTCTGGTGAGTGAACAAGGAGTAGATACTGCATCTCTTAATTGGCTTCGTTAAATGGATATGTATTTGTTTCTCTCTGTGAAGTAGATAGCAAGATAAATGTAGTTTTTCTCTTTATCTGAAAGGACCTCAGAAATAAAATGGTAACATTTGGCTAGCAAATATAATTTGAGATAAATATGTATATTTAATTTTTTTTTTATTGTTTTTACTTATTTATTTATTTCCAGTTAAAATTGTCAAATTACTAAACTGATTATTTGAAGAGAACTTTTCTGTTTTCTGACTAAAATAAATATATTTTACTTGAACCAACCTGGTATTTCAAAGAATAAATAATACCATGGCCCAAACAGGCCTATAGCATAAGAATTTCGCGACCATACCCAACAGAAGGGAAGTATTTCCATGTATACAACATGTTTGACTGACCTCAAGTACTGTATTTGCTGCCAAACATTTCATGTCTTCTTTTATTTCCACATATACTCCACAGGAGATAAACAAACTCCCAAAGTTAACTTTCTAATGGTATAGGGAGGCAAAAAATGTTTTCTCCTGATTCTATTCCAAAACAATGAATGTATATATTCAACATGTACTATAAACAGCTTCTGACTGTGTCAATGTTTTATGAAGACTTAAAGATCATGAGATTCTACAGTTCCTCAATGGGACCCCTATTGCATTTTTCATAACCTTTTTTTCTCTTATCTTCCTTACTGATATCCTTACTGAGTTCACCACAATCTCATAACTGTAAAAGAAATAAAGTAACAAGGTTTTTCTTTTCTTTATGTTTTAGGGCTTCCCAATGTTGGTGGCACTGCTTGGCCTGTGTAAAAGAATAAATTTTAGACATACATTTTTCTGTTACAGGAAAAAAAAATTTAAGACTTTTTTTCCACAATATTCACTAGAAGAGTAAATAATTGTGCTGCGAATTTCTGCTATCTTTCTACAGGAGACTTGCATACAAATGCAGCTTTGGTCCCAATTATAAGTGTTACCTCTGCTATGAAGCTACACCAGTGCACCATTATTTCGTCTTACAGCTATGTTTAATACAAGGCAGAAAAAGAGGCTTCGCACAAAGCTAATTTCTTTTCACAACATTTACAACTTTCTCCCAGAACTCTGCTTATTGTTTGGTTTCTGGATTATTTGGGGAAAAACCCAAATGACTAGAATCCATCATCGGTTGATAAGAAAACACATTTCTAGAGCCAGCTTTAATGCAGAGGTATTTGTCAGTAGGCTGATAGGGAAACAACACTGTTATTAAGTCACTTCAGCAAAACCCAGGTGAATTCTCTGCTCTTGTCGAGATTCCATCCATAGTATTGTTGCCTCAGATGTCTGCTGCTGTGTTTGCTGCCAAAATGCAATAACAGTCAAAGCAGGTTTGTACTCACATGATATGGACCCTGAGGCTGGTATTTATTACTTTCTCTCATTCTGCTTGTCTGTCATGCCCTTCTCCTTTTCTGTGGCTTTGACTCTCTCTGCTCTCTGCTTTTCCCTCTCCATGATGCTCTTACCTTTATCTGTGCTCTCCCTTCCCACTCATTTTTTCTTCTGATCTGGTGTTTTGCTGTCAGGGAGTCAACTGGGAGCCATGGAAGGGACACCTAACTTCCCTCGACTTCACCGAGATGAAGATCCGACCTGTGGGAGCACTGTCCAGCAGAAAGAAGAGATCATTGATGGTCAGGGAGAAAAAAAGCAGGGTTTCAAACACCCACAAGTAGGCGAGCAGCAGAGAAGCGCAGCGAAAGCAGTCCGCTCCATCAGCCCGCTCCATCAGCCTTTGATCACACTAGATTTTGGTTTTTCTGTACATATGTAGATATAGACCCTACACTTAAAGGATCTGCAAACATATGTTTCTCAACTTCTGTATATTTTCAAAAAACAAAAACAGGTCATCACTGCAGAAATTTAGAATAATCCTTTGTAAATTATTACCTGTTTATAACAGAACAGAAATCCAAGGTTTAGTGTGATTATAGGAGAAAGGTGAACAAGAAACTGTGTTTGAACGAGGTTTGAACATTTGTTCTACTCGTAAAGAACATGTATAATTTAGAAAATCATGTTTTACTCAATTTTTATTTCCTTAGAAAACTTGACTATATAAATAGAAGGAAAAGATAACGGCAACTAAATATTTTGTTCTTCCTTTATTATATTAATGCTAAACTCGTTGACTTATAACTGCACCCAGGTTCAGGTGAGGCCGAGTATCCTCAGAGAGTTACCGAAAGTAAACAAAATAATTTGTGTTTAATCAATGGATCCTTTGCTGGCTCTTCAAACATGTGTCCTTAGTCTATTGATTATGCTGCCACTGTGCATCTGACACTGTCACATCACATAAGCTGGTATGACATCAGCCAAAAAGTAACAACTGATTGCTGCCCCGAATAGCCAGATTGCTCCTGCTTTATATTCATATGAGTGGGGACAGCTCATATCAATCAATGCGATGTGTCACATCAAATGTCAATAACAATGACATTTGTTTGTGCTCTTCTCCAGAACAGAATGACTAAACTCCCATTTTTAATCTGGAAAGTTGACAGAAGCTATTAATGTTGCACTGGCTTCTACTTTGCTTAATTAGATTGTCTTAACACTTTTATCACAAACACAGTTTATGTGACAAGGACATGGAGCACACAAACCCACCTTTATATCAATCTGTCAGAATTAATTTGCAAAATGATGAACTTTATTTGTACATTTGGTAATGCTTAAGACTGTGCAGCTTCTTAAAGTCTTTAAAATGGTTTAAGATCAGAACCCTGAAATGTATTGCTTTCTTTATCAATTATATTGCTAAAATTATTTTATAACTCCCCTTTCAATGTAGTGTCGCCACTCCTTTAAAATAAATCTGTTTTTAACTATGTGGTATTGCTCTTTTTTTTTTTCAATTTTATTGAATCATATAATTTTGTGTGATTTTTGTTTCTCTGTGTGGATTGGATGTAGTAAAGAGGTTCAGGGATTATCCTTGGAAAAAACTAATTAACACAGCTTTGAATGCATTTAGCTTTTTATTTAGCTTTTTATCTAAAGTAGGAGAGCAGAACCATGACAAACCGCACCTGGAGGGCAAGGACATCAGCAAACTGATATAATTACAATCGTATCAATGGATACACTTTTCATATATTTTGCTTTGTGACAATTCCAAACCTTTAAGATCCTGAAAGTATATACAAGATTAGGCCTATTCTGCAAAAAAAAAAAAAAAAAAAAAAACCATAAAAGTATTATTCACATTTAAGAATACTTCAAACCTAAAAACATATGAATTAAATGAACTGATCAGCATATATTGTTTTCACAAGTACTTAGGCATCCTTATGTTTTAATGAAGAAAGCACGATAACTGCAACAATATTAATTTACAAGTTGGCAAACAAATATGATGATCTTTGTTCCATCAAAGAGTTTTCCAAACAAAATTGCAGGGGGTTCAATTTTGAAAAATTATCTGCAAAGAATAAAAATGCATAACATGAAATATTTGGTGCTTGTCACCTGTACTGGATTTACCTCAGAATTTGAAGCTTGAATCTTATTATTCAATATGATTTAAATGTTATCCAACCAAACTAATGTTTTTCTATGTGTGTTTAAGAACCAACTAAATTTGCTAATCATTAGGCCCAGACCAACTACTGTTAGTAACACAAATAATAATGCTTTTTCCTTTATTTCTTAATTTTTTTTACAGACTTGTTGCTCACTTAATAATTATGTAAATTAATGGAAAACAATTATTACTCAATGCAGTAACTGCAGCTATCACTAGCTTAGCATGTAAAGCAGCCTTATTAGGTCCCAGCAGTGAAAGTGCTGTGAAGGCCTTTTGTACAGTATTTCAAATATTTTTCTCTTAACATATCTGATGCTCTTTGCATCACATATTCAAAGCCTCACCACACTTTATAGAAAGTTGTCCCCGAATGAAAATGTATGTATTTTAAAGAAATTGAACATGGTTGTGGACTAACTGCACTCGCTAACATGAGATTGGATAATCCATAATGTAAATTGCAAAGATCAGAAATTTGGTACTCTGATACATCAACTCAAATCAAGAAAAAAAAAGTCAGCGGGAAGTACAGTATGCTCCTTTAACTTAGAGAACTTTTATTGGCTTTTTTTTTAACAGAAAGTCAGACATTTTCGGTCATTTTTGACCCTTCTTTATTTTTTGCATACATATCGAGCTTTAGCAAACTCCTCCTGGGGATTTCAAGCGAAACTTTATCAGTATACAGTTAAAACAGTTGTAATTAAAAGTAAAAAAAAGGAAAAGAAAAATTTAGACTGCACTGAAAACATGTGGCTCGCACTCGAAGTTGGCATACTCACCAAGAATTTTGAAATGCGATAACTTTAACATATCCAGAAAAGCCAGATTAGAAGAACCTTTATGGTGTTAATACTCTCCTGACAATACTGAGCATTGGAATGGTAATACTGTATAAAGCCTTGTTCTTCTGACAATAGAAAGTTATTTTATTTTTTCACTTGAAATGGTCCCTCTCTTTCTTACCTGACCTCATCAACTTGAAACTGTGTGGGATGACAGACAGCATATGTTCTAACATGGTTTCAGTCACAGACAGTTTTCGTCATAAGGGGTTGCCGTGGCAGCATGGCGAAGTGTGCTGTGAAAACATGCTCCCTTGTCATTTCAACATATTGTAGATAATTCGATCTGTACCAAAACCAATATGACAAATACTAGTCCAACCTCACACAAGATCCTAGGCAAACATTTGGTGGGTGGGGCTTAATTACTCCACTGTGCCTCTTAGAATTAACCAAACAAATAGTCCTGATCAATGTTTTGACCAAGAAATATGAAGTTCTTTCAGTTACATAAAACTTGTCAGGACCTATAGTGAAGCCATAATCCAAACCCTACAAAATCTTGGCTATTTTGGATAGAAGCCACCATTTTATCTCTTCTTCTTATCTGAGCAAACTCCGACTAGAGCCATTGAGTTACAGACCTAAACGTATTTAGCATAGACTAAATGCATTGGGGATTAAAAAATATCAAAAACTGTTAGAATTTCCTCACACAAGGTCTGAGCTGTACCATAGTTCCTGTGTGCCACCCCAAGACAGCGTTCAACATACATGCACATTTTCTGAATTTACTTCAGTGCTTAAGTGTAGAATCTGGCGTCTGACTCGTGGAGGTGTTGAGGCAGAGCTGCAATAATCCTGTAGTTTCTGTAATGCTGCATGAGGCTTTAAATAGATTTTTTTGTATTGGGCTTCATTTTAGTGTTTTATGCAATAAAACAGTTTTTGCATATATTTTCAAATGAGTCACACAACTTTATGGTATTTGATCAAATTAGTACTCACTGCAATGCTAGTTGATATCGAATGCTTGAGAACAACTAATCTAAATGGATAAATGGACGGTTTCATTGATTTCTACCATATTTTTGACAAAAATGTAAAAAAAAAAAAATTTCTATGCAAAGTTTTGAAAAAAAATTAAATTGTGCATGAAAGCATCGATAATCACAACAATATAATAGTTTATTACAAGCTTCATGAATCTGTTCAACTTCTTAAGCCTTGTTTAAGTTCAATGACAAAATTGAGCTGAATAAGGTTATTTTCTTCCTTATAGGTTAAATATAGGTTCAAGTGTGTGGAGATACATAATATTTATATCCTTAAAGTATATTGCACATCTTAGGATGTGCAATATAACCTCAATATAAATATGATAAAGGTTTGTTTAGACCTATATATAATCTATTATCATATAGAATTATCATATTAAAAAATAAAAGCATTGATGAAAAAGACAAGAATAGGCACATATTTCAACTAAAATCCCCCCTTGATGATAAGATTAAAACATATAATAACAAATATATGCTTCTGTGTAACTATATAAGTAAAAATGCAACTAGCTGTACGAATAGTCCTAACTAAATAATTATTGCGCAGCCAACAGTCTGCTGCAGCTGCATGTTTTTGCTTGTACTGCTCAGAAACAGGTTAATCTTGTGTATTATCAGCTATCCTGGTCAAATATAAAGAATCATTTATAATATATTTTAACACATGGTTGCATTAAAAATCTATGTTTTATTCCTAAACTAATAGCCAAACCTTCATGCTTTAGCGGTTAAACCAATGTGAGCAAAAAGTTATAACGTTCACATAAGGTTTTGTAAACTGTACTATAAACTATCTGATATCTATCTATTTTCCTTTCAAATATAGAACTACAGTTTCCTAAGTGCAACTCTTTCATCATGGTAAGTTAAGTAACTGCCCTTAATGAAACTGCTGACTGTCTGCTGTCTGGTTTCTAAACTATTTCTTAATTCTCTATTAGACAATATACAGGCCATGAGAAAGCACTGGCTGTCTGAGCAGAGACCATTTTGAAACACCTAAGTGATGCATAAAGCACAGCGAAGCACTTTAAAGCAAAAAGATTCAGATCTAAGATATAAATTGATCAAACAAGAAGATGGTTTTGCTTTGTTGTTCCATCAAGACCGGCCAAAGAAAGATGTGAATTTTTTTTTTTTTTTTTTTTTGGTGTTTACTACAGTAATCAGAATCAATGAGTGTTTAAGAATGCTGCTGGATAACAAATCATTTTTGACATGATTCTAATTTTAGCCCGTAAATAAATTGTCCCATGAGGGTTCACTGGTACAAGTGGTTATCTGACAGCAATTACCCTACAGAGAATAATTCCTACTATTGCTTAGACATGTAAGT